AGTTAATAATGATTTCAAATACGCTTTTTAATAAAGTGTAATTTTATAATTTAATTGTAACTGATGAGGAGATTGGAAACGGTGTCCTTGATGGCGTTGAATTTTGACATCTTGTTTTACTATAGATACGTTGATGACATATGTACTGCAGTGTCTCCCTCACAAATCGATGGTTTATTAGAACAATTGAATTCATTTCATCCGCGCCTGCAGTTTACTATCGAAAGAGGGGGAGATATGATAAATTTCCTGGACATCACCGTGTCTATCAACAAAAATCGCTTTAATTTTGATTGGTACTGTAAGCCAACGTTCTCAGGTAGGTTTTTGAACTTTTATTCCAATCATCCATTGATACATGAAAAAGGCACCATCTTTTCGTTAGTTGACAGAGCTTTTTTATTATCTGATGGTATGTTCCATACAAAAAATTTGACTTTTATTATTAACATTTTACTAGAGAATGACTATCCACTGAACTTCATTTTTGACACTATTAATCAACGGATTAAAAATTTGATTAAAAATAAACACAAAGTACATAATGTTTTGATTGACAATGTCTGTACGAATGAAACTACCTCATGGCTTACGGTTCCATACATTCCGCTTCACACGGAGAAATTTAGAAGATTAAATAAAAATAAAAACGACATCAGGGACTTTCATAGCCCCAACAAAATGGGCAAATACATAAAAGTTCAGAAGGACACTTGTCCCCATACATCGAGAAGCAATGTCGTTTACAAAATATTGTGTAACAATTGTGACGCGTCTTATGTTGGACAGACGGGCAAGCAATTGAAAACTAGAATTGCCGAACATCGCAACCATATCAGGCATAAAGCTTCTGCCCGCTCTGTCACCGAACATAGGCTACTTTATAATTACGATTTCCAATGGGACAATGTCTAAATCTTAGATGAAGAGCCTTCTTATAGAAAACGTTTGATCTTAGAAATGCTTCACATAAAGAAACAGAAAAACAGTCTCAATCTGCAAACGGACACTGAAGGTCTTCACAAGGCATATTTGTCCATTGTAAACAAAGTTTGACTTTTTGATACTGACGGTCCGTCTCCTCTCTTAGTGCGTGGCGTTTCGTTTCAGCGATCGGTCACGTTGTGTGCGACACGAGATGTTTGGCTCTCACATTTGCAGTCCATGCGTCGGTATGCGTTCATACCTTTTACACTTATACAGACACACTAGTTCTCATTGGCTTACTCATGTTTGTTGGTGAGTGTCCACTTTTTATCTCAATTGCGGTTGTCAAGTTACCAGTGATATTTAAGTTTACTTTTTTATAAGAGTTCTTTTCCTTTTTCCTTTTTTATCAACTAGAACTTGGCTATGAGACTTGATATCACTTTGACTGCTCAATCGTAAGAATAATGTCGTACTCTACGTCTAGACTCAACCGAACTGCACATTTTCACGTTCTATGAATGTTGCGACAAATATTATTTATTTTTGTACTATTTTTTATTCTATTTACTTTTGTTAACATCTGAAGAGGGCTCAATCCGGCAGCCGGAACTTGTAATGGTACCTTTTCTCCGAATATTATTATATATTAATATACGTCGTTCTTCATTGTTCACTTTTTTGTATCTCTGATTAATGTCTTTTATTATATGTGTTCTATTTTATGTGCTCTTATTTCGCCCTTTATTTGTTTTTATTTTAATTGTAACTTTTTAATACAATTAAAAGTAAAACTTCAGAAAATGGGCGACCTCACCATTTCAATGATCTTGATATATGTTGTCAAGGTCATCACCCTGAGTCATCCCCAACAAATTTAGCTGTCGCTCATTATTCGTTACAAAGTTATATATACATATAACGGAAAAAGTTACTTTCTTTCCTGCCTAGGAGCTTCCAAGCAGAGAGAGGTGAAGTGAAAGTCGTTTCGCGTTATACCATACAGTGTACGCGTGGATGCAGTGGATTCCGTCCGTCCCCTCTATGGGGGGGGGGGGGCTCTACTACAAAAAAAGTAACCTAATCCAACCCATTCTTTACGAAGTAGTCTTTATTTTGCATGAAAGTTGTAAATCCATGTGTGTGGATCTTTGCTTCGGAAATTTACAACTTTCCACGCGAAAGTAAAAAATGAGTTGGGTTAGATTAGTTTTTTTCAGTAATGAAGCTCCATATATAGGGAAGACAGAACCTACTGCACTAATTTTTTGAATTAATTCTTTTTTTTATATAATTTTTGTTTGTAAAGCAGAAAATTTGTGTTTTTATAATAAAGAATTTGTTATAAGAAAGAGAATTTGTATTATATTTAAAAAAAAAATAAAAAATTAAGTATACATTTTATTTAAATTTTATTTGTTAATAATTTTATAACGAATAACGAGCAACAGTTAAAATTTGTTGGGGGTGACTTAGAGTTATGACCTTGATAACATATGTCAAAATCATTGGAATCGGTGAAGTCGCCCATTTTCTGAAGTTTTTTACTCAATTAAATTATAAGTAATAAAAAAAGCATTTGTGTGTGTGAGATTAATAGTAATAAATTTTGTGTAAATGTCCGGACATAGGTACATGTCCGGACACTCTGGTATGTTTATCTTACAAATGCATTCTAATGTATTATTACGCACAAAGATTAAGTTCGGATTAAAATGTCTCTGTTTAAAAACAATAAATTATATTAAATTTAATAGTAAATAAATTAATCATAGAAGCGTATTAACATCTTAAAACATTAAAATCGTTTTAAAATCAGAATAAATTATTAATATTATCTAAAGACTAAAGATTGAACAAAAATTATATCATAAAGGTTTAAAATACAAAAGTAACATTAAAAGTAATTGTAAAATTTGTTATCATTACCAAAAAAGATGTAATTACGTTACTGATAACATATCCCCAGAAAAATAACTTGTAACTGTAACTTTCTTTACAAGCAATGAGTTACTTCCATTCCTTGAAGATTTCACATTTTACAGTAAAATTTACTCGAATATAAGGACTAGAATATAAGGGGATGTAAGAGTTAGCGCGGTACTCGGTGCGCAAGTATAATAATGAAAATGTTTATTAGTCCATTTTTAATATAACCATTTTTAGTATAAAAAGTTCGTAAATCCGTACGCGCGCACGCGTGCGTTTTAACTTACTTTAAGTTATACTCAACAGTATTAATATAAATTAATGGTATTAATATAATTCTAATTCAGCACAAGTAGTGCATGAACCACATTGCCAACCATCCAACATCACAAAGAGAATAGCTTTATCCTAGTTAACAGACCAGAAAAAAACAAATAATTCTTGTAAAGTAAAGCTATAAGAATGAGAATGTCAAAGATATATGTGAAATTATTTAAAAAAAAAACAGACAAGGAGAAAGCAGATTGGCTCACCAAATTGATGCAACTTGTGTGTACATGCTTGTGCGTTTTTGAACACCGAAATCACATTAAAAGAAAGACGTCTTCTCATTCGGTCATTACAGACCATATACTGTAATTTGACCCTGAATTCGATTAAAATAGGGTGTAAATTTTGAATATAGAAAGGAATTATAACAAAAGATTAACGTCTCAAATGTTGCATATAAAAACATAGAAAAGGAGTTAAACCTCCAAACGGAATTTTTAGACCATGCCTATACCCAATTCTGAATATTATTTAAAAGTTAATGTTTACAATATGCTTTCGATCATTTCAGGTCATTACTTGTATCGACTGTGACACATGTTATTTGTCCCCGTGTAACCGAAAAGTGAACAAGTGTTACATTTTATTCTTTTTATTTTACGAAAAAATTATTTGAATCACTCTTATTACTTCATCTAATTGTTAAAATTAATATTATATTCAACTAGTTGACTACTGTATATGTACGCACAAGTTGCATCAATTTGGTTTCAATCCGCTTTTTCCTTGTCGGTTCTTTTTTAAAAATAATTTGACATATATCTTTGACATTCTCATTCTTATTATAGCTTCACTAAAAATTACTTGTTTCTTTCTTGTCTGTTAACTGAGATGAAGCTAAGGAATCTCTTTGTAATGTTGGATGATTGGTACTATGGTTATGCATTACTTGTGCTGAATTAAAATTATATTAATACCATTAAGAATGACTTGAAGTAAGTCGAAACGCGCGCGCGCGCGCGCGTCCGGATTTACGAACTTTTTATATTAAAAATGGTTATATTAAAAATGAACTTATAAACATTTCCATTATTATACTTGCGCACCGAGTACCGCGCTAACTCTTACATCCCCTTACATTCTACATTTTTTATATTGTTTAATATCATTTTTTATATTGTTTAATTCTACATTTTTTACATTGTTTAATATCACTCCTCCAACATTAATTGTTATTCTTATTATTGTTTACTTGAATAGTTTTAGAGAGTAAGGCAAGCCCTCTAAAAATATATAAATAATAATAAAATGAAGATAAAAAGAAGACGATATCATCATAACAATATATAAATTAAAAATAGATAATATGAACAAATTACAACGAGAGAGAAGGAGAGAAAGCGTGAGAAAGGGATAGAGGCAAAAGAATAAGAGAGAGAGTGAGTAAGTAAGAGAGAGGGGGGAGGCAGAGGGAGTAGAGGGGAGGAGAGAGAAAGGGGAGAGGGAAGAGGGGGAGAGAGGGAGAGAGAGCATATTCATCCATTCAATCAGTTTGTCACGTACTCATACATTGCATTAGTTTAAATTTTATCTCTCTTCTTCTAATATGAAAGGAGAAAAGTAAACTCTCCATTAATTCAGCTAACGAACAGATCTATATATAAAATAAGAGTCGGAAAAAAACCGAAAAAAAATAAAAATAATTTTATTATTTTTGATTATAATATTTTGATATTATAAACTTTATAAAATTTAATTACAGTTTTAATTTTTGTTTACAGAAAAAAAGGTTACCGAACAGTTTTTGGTTCCGATTTTAATTTCGATTCGATCAGGGTCTCTGCTTCAAATAAATCAAATATTTTGAAAAAAACGACTTTAAAAGTTCAAGAATTTTTAAATGACTGACCTTAAGTGTCACTTCATTGCCAAACCAGCAGTACAAATAAATCTGCATAAGCATACAACCAAGATAAGACAAGTTATACGCGAAGTCGAGGCTCAGCAAGTTCTTCGTCAACATTTTATAGATGCTTAGACAGAGCACTGTCGAGCTTATGGAGAATTGCACGAAAATCATTAGCGTAAATACCATATTGATGCGTTCTGCAAACCTGCAACATTACAATTATTTTTTCAATATACGTATATGTACAATAGTATAGAGAGTGTTTAATAATTAACGATAAAACTCGCATAGAAGCAGAATGGACTAAATTGATTGAATAGAAAAGTCCCTACCATTTTGCATTTTTCTTATTAATTAATCAGTTATTAATTTATAAAAATAATAAGAAATGAAAAGTGTTTGAAAGCCGATGCTGGAGGTTAGGTTTTATTGTATATAATAATTGAAATAGACGTTCGATTTTGGTTTGAATCCTCTTCAATAAATAGATTAACAATAATACTAAAATATAAATCAATATTTTTAGAATATATTATATAATTATTATTTTTAAATACAAAATCAAATATTAGATTGTATTGAACTTACATATTTGTTTTTAATTTACATATTTGTTTTCATATATGTTTTTAATTTATTATCACTTTTACTTGTTGTCTTAATATATATCTTTTCTTTCTTTTTCATTATTTTTTCTGTATTTTTAATTTATTCCTTTATCTGTATGCCAGACTTCATCTGGCAATGAAGTGACACTTAAGGTCAGAAATGCGTTGACTTTTACTTTGCGCTTGATTTATTGTTATTTATTTTACATATTTGTTCGTCGTAATTTGAATTGTGAATAATGTATATCTGGATAAGTCAATTCGCATCCATATGTCAATATCTATTATATTACCAATATCCATTATTTACTAAATAATTATTGAGTCAAAATGTAAAATATCAAAATGTAAAATTTTATAAATAAGATTAAAATAAAAATAAACATAATTATTCAAAACTTAAATAGCTGTTTGAGCATATCATGCGATGTTGACAACTCGCTAGTCATGGATCTAATGAGAACATTTGTCACACAATAACACAAGTAGACCTTTAAATCTGTGAAAGAGGGGGAAGCATCAATTTTTAGAAATTTAGTGGCGTATAAAGGATCCAAGAATTCTGTGTCACTTTGTACATCCAGGCTATTTTTTTATTTGTGTACGTAAATCATTTCTGATGTTAACCATTTGTTTAAATAACTTTCTTTATCTAAAATTTTTATATTTTCCCAATTGATAAATCTTCTCATTAGATTCATAATTAATTAATTATATTTGGTTTTATATTTTAATCTTATTTATGAACTTTTAAATTTTTACTTAAATTATTAAGTAAATTTGTTAATTTAATTAATGGACATTGATATATGAATGCGAATTGACATATCCAGATACACATTATTCACAGTTCAAATTATAACAAACAAACATGTAAATTCAACATAATTTAATATTCGATTTTGTATTTAAAAGTAATGATTGTATATATTTTAAAAGTAATGTTTGTCTATATTTTAATCTTATCGTTAATGTATTAACTGGAGAGGATCCAAAGCAGAATTAAAACGTCTACTTCAATTATTATATACAATAAAACGTAATTGCAATAACATCCAGCATTCTCAAAGGTTTTTTATTCCTTATTGATTTAATTCATTAGTCTATAGAATTTGCCACTAGTGCTAATTGCACAAGTGACCATTGCGCCACGAATGTACAAGCAATATAAACGCTGAATAAATAATTGCCGAAATCGATACGTTAAATATATTTAAAGATACTTTCAAAAAACTTATACAAAAAAAGACCCTGAGCGAAGCTAAATTGTAAATTAAAGAAATGCGAATTCAGAAACTGTCCTCGTCCGATAAGCGCAACGCTGATGGGCTAGCGCGGAACGCTTAAGAATGACTCGAAAATTATAGAATATAAGCGTGACCACGGACGTGGTTGCCGGTCAGAAAATTAGAACGAAACACGTAGCGTTACTTTGCTCGTTAATTCACCGAAATTGTTGAAGTATCTATATGACGCGAATCTTAAATAGTACTAAGTGGCGTTGTAATAGAAAACACTGGTGAAATGTGTACAAGTTTTTTAAATATATTTTTGTACCAAAACTACAAGGCTACTACATACTTAACTCCCAAAATCTTCTGTGGATTCCGAACCGTGTCGTGAAATACCGGCACAACAAATTACTACAGTTTATGAAAATAGTCAAATTCATCCTGTCTACTGCCAAATGCAAGTGTGCGGCGAAATAAGACTGCTCAGAGAGAGAGAGCACTTTCTTCTAGATACGTTGTTTACAAGCGATATTAGCATTAACGTGCCTAGCGATGGCAAACGCGTATCTCGCTGGGCGGTCTTATCTCGTCGCGCACTTGCATTTGGCGATAGATCAGGCTAATTCGATTATTTTCATAAATTAATAACTAGTTTACTAATGCAAAAAATGCAAAATGATAGAGGACTTTTCTTCTCAGTTTAATCCATTTTACCCATATGCGAGAGTTTTATTATCAAACACCCTCTAGATAGGCCGATTTTACGGTAGCTCCGAAGGAGAAGGGAAAGGAAAGGGAGGGGCGAGGATGATCCATGTGAAGGCTTGACGTCATTGTGCAAAGAGAATGACGTCACGGGGGCATGGGGAGAAGGATTACGTCACAGGGGTTTGCATCACTGGGCAAGGGAAATGATATTACGGGAGCGAGGCAGGAAGTTAACGTCACAGATCCATGTAGAAATGACCGACATTATTTAACTGGGCCAACCTTAGTCTAGCATCGACAATTAAGAATCAATAGACAATCTTGTCTCAGTACTGATTAACAGCCAAGCCGTATGTGAGCCAATACTAGCTGCAAAATAGGCCAAGTTCTGGCTGCTAGACAAGCCAAACTCTGGCTGACAGCCGCACCGTACGTAGGCCAGTATTGGTTGCAAAATAGGCCAAACTCTGGCTATAAGATAGGTTAAGATATTGCTGCGATACAGATGTAGCTCCAGCAGTGAGCTACATATATATTGCTGATAGTACATGACATTAAAATTATTAAATTATAAAAAACAAGCCGTGGTTTGACGAAGAATGCGTAAAAATTGTTAAAGTACGAAACGAAGCGCGCATCACGTGGTTGGCTCAAAATACGAAGGAAACTCGGGATCAGTTTCTTAAGATTAGGCAAGAGGCTCATAATATGTTTAAAATTAAGAAGCGTCAATACTTAAAACGTAAAATTGAAGAAATAGATGAAAATTGTAAAAGCAGTAACGTACGAGGCACGTACATGGGGATAAATAATTTTAGAAAGGGATTCCAAGCTAGGACGGAAATGGTGAAAGATGAGAACGATAATTTAGTTACGGATACAACGGCAGTTTTAAACACATGGAAAAATTATTTTGATCGGTTATTGAATGTCGAATCTGAAAACGACCGGGAAATAGAGAATTTTGAGTATCACACGGCTGAACCTAGGATTAACGAACCGACAATTTCAGAAGTAGAAAGCGCGATTAAAAAATTAAAAAATCACAAAGCACCGGGTAATGACTTGATTCCGGCGGAACTGATTAAATGGGGGGGAAGTAGATTGATAGAAGAAATTCAGAAATTAATTATCTTAATATGGAATAAAGAAGCATTGCCGGAACAATGGAAAGATTCAATTATAATCCCGATTTTCAAAAAGGGGGACAAAATGAGTTGTAATAATTACCGGGGTATCTCACTTTTACCTACATGCTATAAAATTCTGTCGAATATTTTATTAATGAGGCTTGTACCATATGCAGATGAGATAATTGGAGATCATCAATGCGGCTTTAGGAGAAATAGATCGACTGCGGACCAAATCTTTACTATTCGGCAAATCTTGGAGAAAAAATGGGAATTCGACCAATCGGTACATCAACTTTACATTGATTTTAAAAAAGCGTATGATTCGATAAAACGGGAGAAAATGTATGAAATTTTAACTCGGTGGGGGATACCCAAAAAATTGGCTAACTTAGTCCAAGTTTGTTTAAAAGATACCAGAGGTAGAGTAAGAATAGGTAATCAAATGTCGGAAACTTTTAATATTCATAGCGGATTAAAGCAGGGGGATGCATTGTCACCTCTTCTGTTTAATCTAGTATTGGAATATGCTATTAAAGAAATGCAGAAGAGTAATGATGGTTTGCAGTTGAACGGTACAACACAAATATTAACATATGCGGACGATATTGCTTTGTTGGGAGATAATAAAGAAACACTAATAAATAACGCTAAAATTCTATTAGATAAAACGAAAGAACTGGGGCTGCAAATAAACGTTGAAAAAACTAAATATATGGTCACTGATAGAATTCAGAATATTCATAATAACGGAAACCTGGTCGTCTGTGATAAAATTTTTGAACGGGTTAGCAATTTTAAGTATTTAGGATCGATTTTAAACCAAACTAATGAAATAAGAGAAGAGCTCAAGAGAAGAATTAATTTGGGGAATGCGTGCTTCTATTCGGTTAAGAAACTACTCGGTTCGCGGATATTGTCTAGGCGCTTAAAAATTAGAATTTACAGAACGATTATTTTACCGGTAGTCCTTTATGGCAGCGAAGCGTGGTCACTTACATTACAAGACGAGAAAAGATTTAGGGCTTTCGAAAATAAAGTACTTCGAAAAATCATCGGGGCAAAACGCGATGAGGAAACGGGCGAATGGAGAAAATTACACAACGCAGAATTACATCAATTATATAATAGTCCGGATATTATTAATGTCATAAAATCGCGTCGATTAAGATGGGCAGGTCACGCGGCGCGTATGGATGAGAATCGAATTGCATATAAAGTACTAATTGGTAAACCGGATGGGAAAAGACCATTGGGTAGACCAAGACGTAGATGGGAAGATAATATTAGAATGGACCTTAACGAAATGGGGTACGAGGGTCACAAATGGAGGGATCTTGCTCAGGGACGGGAACAGTGGCGGGATTTGGTATTTGCGGCAATGAGCTTTCGAGTTCCTAACGCCTAATAATAATAATAATAATAGTCAAATGTATGTAGTGACTGATGTAAAATTCATTTTTTTAATAAGTTTCTTAATTTTGTCTGTAAAAATTCGAAACTGAAAAATGAGTCTACTAGTCCCGG